GCCGGGAACGACTTCTTTCAACTTGGGACCCCTGCGTTGTGACTGACAGGGGTAGCGCCAGGATTTCCCCGACGGCGGGGGGTTGAGGTCCCACACGAAAGGTCGATTCCCCCGCCGAGGGGGAAGATCTGCCCGACGAAAGTTGGCGTGGTCGAGCGTCACTTAAAATGCTCCGAAAGTGGTCCTGGGGGGCGAAACCCCTAAAATTTTTGACAATTTAGGAGTTTCAAAGGCTTACTGTATTTAATCGATTTTCGGGTCTACTAATGTGAACAAAATACAGATAATAATGATTGTGATAGTGTGATGTCATTCGACCGGATAAGATTACATTCTGCGAGCGTCAGTTTTGTGTCAACATAATACTGAACAGATTGAAGCCTTTGGAATAATGCATGCATGCTACATAACACTAGCTGCCATGTGAAATTTTACAAATTCTGTCTCATTTGCGTCAGTAACGGTATGCTATCTACTGCACTCTCGTTTCAGTTCAGTTTCACCAACGAGGTACTTTTATTTAGTAGATATACCGGATGTAAATGAGGCAGAATAGTTTGTGTAAAAAGAAAAGAGAAAGCAGAAACAAAACAAAACACGATTACACTGTCTAGAAACAATGCGAGGCGTAAAGGTAAGTACAGTATCTGGATATAATAAGTAGCACCCTAGTTTGCCTGTACAGTATGTCCTCTGGCATGGTCTGTGGAGTTGAGGTAATCTCAATTGCGTAATGTAGCATTACTCAATGCTTCAATTCTGGTTTATGTGTCTTTGCTATGCCCCCGCCTCGGGGGAAAAGTCTGCAGTTCCAGTGGAGGTGCATGATGGGTCGTGTCATTTTAAGTACCTAATTACTGTATAAAAGTCATAAAGCAAATACAGCGCCATACACTACCTGATAACCGAATCCTATGTGTACAATTTATTAGTAAACATAATACAGTAAGGCAGTACAGACAAACACTCCTGCTGGGCCTATTTTTATCAGTGCTCCCGATTAATCAAACAGATTGTGATGAAAATATTTTCACTGCGGACCGCCAGGGTGACTTCTCGTGCATTGTGGCTTATAAATAGCAGAATGTTTGCAAATAACAGAGTAATCCATGATCCTCGACGTCGGTAGGACTTAACCGAGATCGGGAATATATTCTCGACCGACACCGTATGGCAAAAAGAACGATCTGCCACGGACGGGAGTTGGGCGTCATTTCCAATCAAGAGGCCGGGCAAGAGGGCCTACATAGTCAACGTAATCATGCCTGGCAGGCGCGTAACAGGGGTCTTGGTTTTAGGGGAGGCAAAGGTAATAATTTTCCCGGTTAATAATCTATCATACCCACACCACCCACTCCCCATATAGAAAGCAATACGACATAGGGCTTATCTTATTTATAATATAGGCCACACACGTGTTTTTGAAACTGATTATTATAAGCATTTTCATCATGGTTTTATTTATTACAAACATATTCTTTCACCATCAATACACATTGAGGCCCTCATTTTAGGCTCAAACGACCTATCTTAAATTTTTCTTTCTTGAGTTTGGGGGACTGTTATGTGTTTAACTAACTTAGAAGATAACCCTAAAAACCCCCAGTAAATGCGCGCGAAGCGCGCAAAAATTTGTTGTGTTTTTAATTCTAATTTCGTCGGAATTGATCAAAACTCCCTAAAATGTGCAATTTAGGGCCTATAGAGGAAATTAGCCTGCCGTGACAAGAATTGCACGGGAAGCGCGCGGAAATTTGAGGATTTTAGGCAATTTCAGAGGATGAAAAGGGCATTTATCAAAGGGTTGGGAAAGATTTTCTAAAGATGGATATTTTCCCCTTGTCCCCCGGTGTTTTTAATTCTAAGGAATTGATCCAAAATCCCTAAAATGTGCAATTTTTAGAGGAAATTGGCCTACTCTGACAAGAGATGCGCGCGAAGCGCGCGAAATTTGAGATTTTTAGGCCCTTTCAAGGGATGAAAAGGCCATTTATAAAGTTGGTGGGAAAGATTTTTCAAAGATAGATATTTTCCCCTTGTTCCCCGGTGGTTAGCCTACGCCATCTGGCAGCTTAGATCAAAGGAGTTAAGTGGAGAAGAGGTTGCAGGGTGTTGTGAGTCTGGTCATTATGATATCTTCCTTTTTATTCTTGTCTTTATCTCCTCTTTTTCTTTTCCTTTCCTTTTCTCTTCCTCTTCTTTCTCTTTCCCTCCCTCTCCCCTCTTTCTTTTCTCTTATTACCCAGCCCGATACGACGGCTAGTTCAGCCCGGTAAAAACCGTCAAGGGGGGGGGGGGTGCATTCTGTCCTCCCCCCCCCCCTGTTACGCCACTGATGCCTGGAAAAGGATATGGTATTTTTCCTTTACGCTAGCTTGTTAATCTGCATCAGTTGAATTCTTATCATTATCATCGTCATCGTCATCATCATCATCATCAGCAGCATCATCATAATCAGAAAGGAAATAACAATAGACCCACATTAATTAGACCTAACCTCTTCCTTTGCTCGACCCTTTGCTCTTGCCATGAGTCTCTCCGCGGCAAATCCAAGCTCATTTTAATTTCATTCTCTTAAATTTAAAGGTCACTGTTCATTTATGAGGGCTATAAATTTATATGTTTAAATCTTGAATTAGAGTAAACACAGTCAGTATACACGGTTTGTTTTTTATTGGGCCCTCGAAGAAAACAGGAAATAAAACACAAAAAAAGTACCGGTATATGATTTTGGGGTACAAAGCATATATTTCGACATGAATTGTGCCTGGTCAATGACAAACCATGAAGAAGCGGCTTGGCGCAGTGGTTGCTTTCTGCTTCTTGAGGTTAGAGGTTCAATCCCTCGCTGTGCATTTCAGTTGCGTCCTTGGCCTCGGCTGACTCTCTCCACTCAGAAGTATTAATGGGCACTCACCTCAAAAGAACAGAAATACTTCTACTTCCTGCAGTTTTTATTTTGTTTTGTTTTGTTGATGCAGCCAAATATGGGTAGGCTTATATTGAATGACTAGGAAATAGGTGAGATATCAAAAGTCAATTAGTCAATTGATTGAATAACGCCTTTGTATCATCGGCACACCTTTTAGTGTAACCTTACAACGACTAGACAATAAATAATTTCCAATCAAGAGGCCGGGCAAGAGGGCCTAATAGTCAACGTAATCATGCCTGGCAGGCGCGTAACAGGGGTCTTGGGTTTAGGGGAGGCAAAGGTAATAATTTTCCCGGTTAGTAATTTATCATACCCACACCACCCCTCCCCATATAGAAAGCAATACGACATAGGGCTTATCTTATTTATAATATAGGCCACACACGTGTTTTTGAAACTAATTATTATAAGCATTTTCATCATGGTTTTATTTATTGCAAACATATTCTTTCACCATCAATACACATTGAGGCCCTTCTTTTAGGATCAAACGATCTATCTTAAATTTTTCTTCAATTTAAAGGTCACTGTTCATTTATGAGGGCTATAAATTTATATGTTTAAATCTTGAATTAGAGTAAACACAGTTTGTTTTTTATTGGGCCCTCGAAGAAAACAGGAAATAAAACACAAAAAAAGTACCGGTATATGATTTTGGGGTACAAAGCATATATTTCGACCTGAATTGTGCCTGGCCAATGACAAACCGTGAAGAAGCGGCTTGGCGCAGTGGTTGCTTTCTGCTTCTTGAGGTTAGAGGTTCAATCCCTCGCTGTGCATTTCAGTTGCGTCCTTGGCCTCGGCTGCCTCTCTCCACTCAGAAGCTACTTCCTGCAGTTATTGTTTTGTTTTGTTGATGCAGCCAAATATGGGTAGGCTTATATTGAATGACTAGGAAATTGGTGAGATATCAAAAGTCAATTAGTCAATTGATTGAATAACGCCTTTGTATCATCGGCACACCTTTTAGTGTAACTTTACAACGACTAGACAATAAATAATTGATATAGAGAAACACAAAAATAATATGTTCTCTGCCTTATAAAGTATAATACCTTGATGAAGAAAAAAGTCAATGGGAAAACTAGGAGGAAAAATACATCGAAAAAAGGTTGAGAAATAGCCGGGTGGGGGGGGGGGAGGGGGGAAGATAA